CCCCCTCTGCCAGTCTCCTTAGATTTGCCTTGGGTTGTTCTTTAAAGGGAAAACACACGAGATGATGATGATGATGATGATGATGATGATACTAATAATACTAATACTAGTAGTAGTAATAATAATTTATTTGTAACCCGCCTCTCTGTGTAACGCAACCGGGGCGGCTTACACGCTAAAACATACAATCCCGTCCGTCCCCCCCCCACAAAAAAATACAATTGAACAGTCATAGTTTAAATAAAACATACTTTAAAATGACAATTAAACAGATCTATACGTGTTGACCATGTGGTTGTCGTTGTTGTGTGCCTTAAGTACGGTAGTTTCCAACTTATGGCGACCCTATCTTGGGGTTTCCTTGGCAAGTTTCTTCAGAGGGGGTTTTGCCATTGCTTTCCTCTGAGGCTGAGAGTGTGTGACCCAGTCAGTTACATGGCCGAGCCGGGATTCGAACCCTGGTCTCCAGAGTTTTAGTCCAGTGGTCAAACCGCTACACCACGCTGGCTCCTATTGACCATATAGAGCTTTTGCAGACTGCCAGAAATAGTGCAAATTGAGTCCACTTTTAGGGTTAGGGTTAGTGCTAGGGAATCATGGGAATTGTTGTTTTTTTCTGAGACATTGAGCCTTCTCTGTCAGAGAGCTCTGGTGCCACAATAAATTACAGTTCCCATGATTCCCTAACCTTAACCCTAAAAGTGGACTCAATTTGCACTATTTCTGGCAGTTGGCAAAGGCCCATAGTAAACTATAATAATATCCCAAACCCACAAAACAGGGATGAACCAAAATGCATAAAATATACTTTGCAAACTTTCCAAGCTCCACTGGCTTCATCAGGCAAAAGAGTTAAAGAATCATCTCTTGTCTTGTGCGTCTTAATATCCAACAGTGGCGACCCTATCATGAGGTTTTCTTGGCAGGATTTGTTCAGAGGGGATTTTGCCATTGCCACCCCCTGAGGCTGAGAGAGTGTGACTTGTCCAAGGTCACTCACGGCCGAGCTGAGAATCGAAGCCTGGTCTCTAGAGTCGTAGTCCAGGGCTCAAACCACTACTCCACGCTGGCTCCTAAGAATTATATAAAATTATATAATTAAAAATGATAAAACGACAATGTTAGTTAAAGACTTGCATTTTCTTTCTTTTTAAAAAATTTTATTGATTAAAATCACCAAAAAAAAAAATCAAGCAATTACTATTATTTACAATTTCTTCCAACACATTAGTTTCCACATCAGTTTTCCATTCTTCACTTCCTATGCTGTGAATACATTAGTGTTTAACTATATTTTTGCAAACCTCATATACAAATGTACACATTACCCACAGACTTGCATTTTCTCAAGGTGTTGTTGTTGTTGTGTGGAGGGATATTTCTGCAATGTTGGAAGAAAGCCTCCCAAAATCCAGGAGATAAAAACTAAATGCTATTAGGAAA